AATTCTTTAAAAATATGGACATCTAAAATTACTACAGAAACAAAAAACAAGTTTGAAAACAGTGTAAAGTTTGAACTTAACTAAAATTTCATGGGAGGTATACTACAAAGTTCAAGGTCTTTGTTATTAGGTCTGTATAGTGTACAAATAAAGTCCTATATTGATTAGGAAAGAGAATGTTTTATTCCTATGAGATATTTGAAGTGAAATCAACATCAAAGCCGTGACCGTTATGTTCAAAACGAACAATATCATACCACGGTAGAAAATAGTTTGGACAAGTATCTCAAGCAAAATATTCATAAACTATTTTGTTTTCTTTTTCTGAGAAAATCTGTATAGATTGATCCTCAATGCGTTTGAAAATTTTTAATTTCCACCCTTTTTAAAAAGAACTTTCAATTTTATTATTGATGTATGAAATTATTTTTAAATAATTTATCCATGTTTCTTCCGCAACTAAAAATTGTTCATTTGAAGTTGATTCTCTAGATTTTTTAGTGTATGGACCAGATATCTCTAAATATCTCTCTCACTCTCCCAATCTTTCTCATCGTTCGATTTCTCACATCATTTCTTTTTTAATTTTGTTTTATTCAAGTAATGAAACAATTAATGAGGAGTTTAATTTAGTTTAAAGTGAGAGGGAAAATGTAGTGGATTATTTATTTGTTATTCTGTGTGAATGAGTTCTTATGTGGATTTTGGGTTATTCATAAGTGTAGACATGTGTGGACACAAATTTTAGTTTTGGGTGATTGGTAATATCCATTCTGCAAATAATAAACTTATACTTTAATGTTACATGTTTTTAACCTTTTTTTTAATGGAAGGACTGAATTTAAATAAATTGATATATTGAAGGTAATTTTGAAAAATGCCACCAATCCTTATAGTCCAAGTATTAGTTTAAAGAAATAAATACCAATTCAAAATATCAAGCTCCCTTCAAACTCAAAGACTGTAATTTAATATTTAAAAGTTGGCTTATGCATATGGTTACGAAAATCCTAATTTTTCCTTTTAAGAATATAAAAATATATATAACTCCAAATAAATAAATATAATTTAAATAGCGGCCGAATTAGAAGTCTTTAGACAATGATTAAAATATATATACTAGACATGATTTTAAATTGGGCCATACCCATAAATATAAATTAATATAGATAATGGACATCTTGAACTTATTTTGAGTGATAGCACAAAAATTAAATAAACTTGTCGGGGTTGCAAAAGTCTCGCAATCAAATTAAAAAATTTACAAAACTCATTCTTTAAACGCATGATAGAGTTTTCCATCGTTACGATTCAAAATTAGTATAGTCAAAAGTGAAGTACTTTTAATTGATTACACGATCAATCCACTTATTAAAAGAAGAAAAATAAAAGGTTTGAGATGATTATATTATATATGAGAATTAATCTTTCGAACATCTTATATTTTTATTAGATTTGATTAAAAGACTCGTCAATTTTTATAATATTATAAAAAAGTATACTATATGCTTAAGAAATTACTTTCTTATGAAAGAAGTATGCTATATACTTGGGAAATTATTTCCTACGAGCTTTTAGATAGTAATTAATCTAAAAAGAATTTTCTAATGAAATAGAATTAAAAAGATACGTCGGGTGTAAATAAAAAAAAAAGTAATTTTTAATCAAGTTATTCAACTCAAACTAATTTTGAGAGAAGATATGAAACAACTCAACTGATAAATTTTTAATTTATTTGAATTATTCAACACAATTCAACTCATTAAAACAAATTTTATAATCTAACTTAGTCCAACTATATGAGTGGGATGGATTTCATGTTTTTTAGGGTGTATTTTACCGTCGTAAAATAAGAGCATCTGGTTCCATTTAGGGTGTATTTGGTTGGTGATCGAAAAACAAAGAATTCAATGAAAACAAAGTTTATTTCATGTTTTTAATATTTTCGAATTTATGTTTGATAACAGATTTGAAAATTGAATCTCAATTTAAAAACTAATTCAACACGTTTAGTAATAATTCCATTTAAAATATTATTAATTAATTTATTAATTTATTTGTTATAAATTATCTATAATTATTATTTTACAATATTATATAATTTATATTATATTATATTATCTATTATATATTTTAGTTTTGACGAAGAAAATAACTTGAAATAATGTATTTATCAATATTTTTATCTTTTTAAATGTAATTCTAGATTTTAAAGTTTCAATTATCTAAAGTCGAGAAGTACTAAAAACATCACAATTTTATTTTTAGAATCTTAAAAAAAAAATTAAAAACAAATCAGCCAACCACATATTCACTCATTCGATTTGATAGTGAATCCAAAAACAAGAAACGAATGCAAGATGACATGCGAAACAATCCCTTAAACTTGTCACGAACATCAATATAAAAAGTTGTCCAAGAAAGTCATTGGTCTAATTGAATTTGAAAGAAACGTACAATTTAAGACTTCCTAATAAAAAAGTAAAGCACAAAACAATGGTTTCAAGCACATCTTAATTTGTATGGTCTGATTTGTTCAAAAAAAGTTAAATAAAAATGGAGATATATAATTTATATTTATTGTATAGTCTAACTTATTTGTCATTTAGCTAACCCAATAACATACATCTATAAGCGACAATGGCATATGTTTGAATATTGCTAATCTCAATTATAAGATATTCATAGAAAAAATTTATCGATTTTAATCA